TCTCATTTCTTCCTCGCATGAACACAATGGACCAAAGGTCTCCGGGTAAAGCAGTTGTGGAAACCCGGGTAGCTAGGCATCCTTAGATCAAACCAGAGTTATTCAACACATTTTTCTTTAAACCCTCAGCCTTACGGCCATAGAAGGGAAATCATTTGATGCAATCTCTTTGGATAGAATACATTTGAGAAAATTTGGAGACGAGTTAGCCATATCTGTACATCAGACAGTCTGTCTGGCTGTAAGATTACTCAAAAGGACATATCCGATTTGATCCAAGCTTAGTGTATCGTATTATTTCTTTCAAAATTAGTCCTAGTTTGAATATAAGCAGTCGAAATTTACAAAGAGTAACTTTTCCCTTTTAAAGCAAAAATAACAGATACCAAGCGGATTTCTGCTACACTCATTTTTACTACAAATGCTAACAATATCTACACCCTCCACCAAAATAAAGTGGGTGTATTACATTTCTCATTCCATTTATTACTCGAGAAAATAAAAATATTATATCCAACAAAGTTGATGGAAATATTCAATGAAGTGCCTTTGTCACAATCTCAAAGTATAGTCAGTTAAAAATTTATTGACTTGGAAGCTGGATTGTTGTGTTGAAATAAATAAATTTTGTTTTAAATTATTCATCACTTTCTATTTAAATCATGCTGTGCGTGGACCTGAGTTGAGGCAAGCAATTGATATACACCCTTTGGGCAGCATAGGATTGTGTATGTTTTTTCGATACATCCATTGTATCCTAAACAAGTTAAAAAGCAGTAAGTTCGGCCGGGCGAACTTTGAATATCCTACACCATTTTGAACGAATTTGGAAATTTTCAAAAAATAAAATCCGTTAAAAATTCTGTTAAAATCTTCAAAATATCGAATATAGTCGTTATACTGGTGTCTGTACGACGTGGACTTACATAGGCATTGTTTGTCATAAGTCATTACAATATTCAAATTCAAAACTTGAAATAAACGGTGAATATCATAATAATGACCGTATATAGGGAGGTACCGTTATATCGGAGCTATACGAAAACCTGGACATGCGTAAACAATTTTCTGCCAAAGGCTGTAGCATCCATTACGAACTTCAAATACGACATCTCAAACTATTTCGGTGAGTATTCTACCTAAAATCGTCAAAATATCGAATAGAAAACGTGGACCTACATGGACCATTTACGAACTTAACCTGCCTATTGACAAAATAAACATATGTGCAGAATTTAAGCCTTCTATATCAATTCGTTCGAAAGATAGCGTGATAACAACAGAGAGAGAGAGGGATGGTTAATATACCCAGGATAGTATGATGCGGGTATAAAAATGATTACATTCTAAAACAGAAATTTAAGAGATTTTTGAACTTTGATTATAATCTGATGTCACATCTTGTTAAGAAGCTGCATTAATTGCACTGTGCGACCAAATCCAATTGATTCTATAATTAATGGGGAAAATGCAGCAGATTATGAAAATAGAAGACATATGCATCGGCATTTTGAATGTTTACATCGCAAAGTATCCTATATAATATAGGGGACAAGTCCACTTCTACCACATTTTTTTGAAATTTTCAGATTAAAATTCCTTGGAATCCGTTCATTTTAGATATAAAGTGACTTCGGGAATACAGCAGACAAAACACGAATACTATTTAGTAGAACATTGAACAATCAAGCGAGTAAACAATATGTATATTTTTGCGGAATCACAGCAAGTGAAAATATTCTACAGAATTATTTCTATTAAAATTCTACTCAATAGTTTAAATCTTCTAAATCTAAATGACAAGAATTCATATATATATATATATATATATATATATATATATATATATATATATATATATATATATATATATATATATATATATATCATGATAGGTTCCGATCGAAATAAAGTATATTGATAAAATGTTTCTCAAATGTATTTTAGGTCCGTAAAACCGTTGGTATTGAAAATGCCCTATAGGTCCAAATTATGTAACAAACCAAATTTAAAGGAACCGCCAGATATTTTTTTGATTTTAGCTTAATTTTTCAATAGAATTATCTAAAACTTGGCATTTGGAGTTCGCAATTGGCTTTGTTTCTTGTTTTCTGCTAATTGATCACGTTTCAACATCTTTATTAAGGCCTTTACATAGCTTCGATCATATACAAAGACACTTCAGAAAATGGGTCGTATTAGTTAACTTTTGAGAATGGCCCCCATGTAAGTGTGACCCCAATTTCAAGTATTTTTTACGTTTTGGCCATGTTTTCCAAATTTTGGCATTTTGGGTCCAATCGATATCGCCAAAGATATTAAAAGTTCGGTCCCGCTGACACTTTTTAGACCTCCACCTTGAAAAGGAGGGTATATAAACTTTGTCATTCGGTTTGTAACATCCCTAAATATTCGTCGAAGACCCCATAAGGTATATCTATTCATAATCAGCATAAAATTTTAAGCCGATATTACGATGTCCGTCTGACTGTCTGTCTGTCCGTCTGTGTAAAGTCACGATACAGTCCACATTATTTGTCGTAGAGCTTCAAAATCTGGTAGAACAATTTGTATTGTGTCTAGGATGGTTGGTATTGAAAATGAAATATATTGGTACACGTTTTGGTATAGCCCCCACACAACGGTACCTCTTGAAATTCGATATTTTTATGATTTCAGCCACATTTGTCTGCGGATTTGTCTAAAAATCGGTATTTGTGGGTACTAGCTCCGGTGGCGAAACATATATAGGTCCACGTTTTTGTATAGCCCCCATATAACGGTTCATAACTATATTCGTTATTTTGATGATTTTTGCCACATTTTTGCACGGAATCGTTTCAGATTTTGTATTAAGAGTTAGTGTTTTACAATAGTTTCAATGTAACGGTATCTCCCGATATTCGGTATTTTGATACTTTTAGACACATTTTCCACGGATTTGTCAAAATGCGGTAACTGTTGTTGGGTTCTAGCTCCGGCGGCAGAATAATATATATGTGGGTCCACATTTTCCTATATATATCTCCATATAACGGTACCTTCGGACATTCGGCATTTTAACGATTTAAGTCATATTTTCTAAGGTTTTTGTGTAATTTGTATTGTAATGGGTTTTGTAGTTCATAATGGGTTCTACAACCGGTGTCAAAATATTGTCCAAATGGGTCCACTGCTTCCATATAACGCTACCCACCGATTTGGGGTATTTTTATTTACCCACGGAATTTTTTGAAAGTTGGGATCGCAATAGATAACAATCTTTGTAGTAGGAAATTGCCTATATAGGTTCCAGTTTTGGTATGGCCCACATATTACAGCTCCAACCACTTGGCTTTCTGTCAACTTTACCGCATTCTCAATCCGATTTTGCTGTTATTTGTTGTTTAAAGTGGAATACGTTTAAATCCAGATACTTTTATATAAAATGTTTTCTTTAGCTAATGGTTGAGAGTACATAAAGTTTCGCCGTAACATACTAAATGTTTTTAAATTGCTAAAATTTGTAGATTTTCCAAGTTTCTTTTAATTTGTTTTTTGTTACTTTAAGAGTTTTCTTTTACTTGTTTTTAATATCTATCATTCTTTGTTATTCGCTAAAAATTGCAAAATATCGCATAGTTCTGGTAAAATGATAGATAAGTTTGAAATATGCTAGTTCGTAGTACAAATTGATACAGACTCAGATGAAGTTTTGTGGAGGGTATATTAAGTTTTGTCATTCCGTTTGTAACACCTCGAAATATAAATTTTAGACCCCACAAAGTATAAATATTCTTGATAAGCATAAAATTCTATGTCGATTTAGCGATGTCCGTCCGTCTGTGGAAATCACTCTAGCTTCCGATCGAAATGAAGAAGGTTGATAAAGTTTTACTTAAATGTATTGTATGTCTGCAGGACTTTTGGTATTAAAAATTGGCCATGTAGTTATAGCCTCCTCGTTTTTGTATAGCCCCCATATATCGGTACCTTCCGATATTCGGTACATTGATGATTTTAGCGACATTATTCACCGGAATTGTTTCCAAGTTGGTATTTGAAGTTCGTAATGGATACTACCGCCTAAGACAGAGAATTGTTTGTGCAGGTCCACGTCTTCGAATAGCCCCCATATAACTGTACCTCCCGATATTCGCTATTTTGATGATTTTAGCGACATTATTCACCGAAATTGTGTCAAATTTGGTATTTGATGTTCGTAGTGAATACTGCAGTCTATGACAGAAAATTGTCTGTGCAGGTCCACGTTTTGGTATAGCCCTCATCTAACGGTACCTCCCTATATTTCGTATTTTGATGGCTTTAGCGACATTATTCCCCCAAATTGCTTCAAATTTTGGTATTTGAAGTTCGTAATGGATAGTACAGCCTATGACAGAAAATGGTCTGTGTAGGTCCACGTTTTGGTATAGCCCCCATATAATAGTACCTCCCTATTTTTGGTATTTTTATGATGCAGTTCCACGTCGTCGTATAGACCCTAATGTAACATTCGGTATTTTTAAGATTTTAAGAGCATATTTAGCGGATTTTATTTTTTGGAAAATTGCCAAATTCGTTCCAAATTGTGGAGGGTATTCAAAGTTCGGCATATGCAGCTTTTTTATTTGTTTTTTTTTTTTCAAAAAATGGAAATTTTGGAAAATTTTAAGAGATATATCAATGGTCGTCAAAACGTGACGAGGCTATAACTGTACCCTTTTCTCTTTAAATGTTGTCCTTTCCATGAAAGTTCAAATTATTAGTATATCATTTTCTAATTAATTTACACACAATGACCATGAACAAACGGAGAAAACCCCACTCAGTGGGTGTTTGTTTTTTTTTTTTAATTTGTTTGACGCCATCATTACAACGAATGTCAAACGTAATTACTTATCACACATGTCAAACTGTCAATCACTGACATAACCTCATTTAATTAAATCAATTAAAATACCACAACTATAATTCGTTGGAAAAATATTAAAATAACTTTATTATTTATTTGTATAAATATTTGCGGTTGTTGTAAACATGTGTGTATGTATGTGTATAGAAAAATATATGTATATGCACTAAACTTGGTTTAGAAACAGTTAACAGATTTTGAGCACCATTCAAATTGTCTGATATGTATTTTTGTTTTGTATTACTTTGTTGTTATTGGTATTGTTATTGTTGCCGTTGCCGTTGTTGTTGTTGTCATTGTAATTGTGTATTGACGTTGTCGGATGTCGATTGGCCGGCCAAGTGAGCGAGTGAGAATTGGTGTTTTATTATCCGCAATCAATTGCAAATTTTTCGTTAATTTAAATTCGAGAACAACAAAAACAGAGTATGCCAATAACAACAACAACTACAAATAATAAAAAAACAATGATCTCGGATGGAATGTTTTATGATTGTTGTATTGTTTTTTTTGTTGTGTTTAGTTGGTTTGATTGTTCGGTTAGTTGTTCGGTCCTCTAATTAAATCTGTATACATTCATACTTAGTATGTTTGTCTGTGTGGTTGGTCGGTTAGTTTGTTTGTTTTGCTTTTGTTTTTGTAATAGATATTAGATACCAGATTTAGTTACGTTTATATGCACCAGCAGCCTTTTTGTGTGTTTGGCACATGTTGGCTTTGTTTCAAGTGTAACCACTGACCGCTGGCCACCATTGTCATACGGACAGACAGACCGCCAGACAGAGTGAACAGGAGATACTTTATACTATATATTTTTGCTGTTGTTGTTTTTGTCTATGTACAAAATTGAACTAACTACAAGTACGAACAAATAAAATCGTTACAAAAAAAATGTTTACTAAAATTTTAATGCAAAAAAATAAATACGTTACACGAGAGCGAAGAAAAAAACTTAAATCTAAATACAAATACAGATACAATTGTACATAAATATTATTTAATTTATATTGTACAACAATGAAAGAACAATAATACATTTACACAATATAACTATGGTAATAGTTAGGCAAAGAGAGAAAGAGATAAATATTTCGTAATTTAATAAGTGATGAATTCTAAAGAGTGTAGCTTAATTTAATTATTGTCTGGAATTTTATGCTTGTTTCTTATCGTATTTGAGAAATAATTTAATTATTTTCAAAGTTATTATTTTATAATTTGAGTATGGTTTTCTTAAGGCCTCCTTGAGCATTAATATAGTTGTATAATTTAAGGTAGACATCCAATTGGCTTTGAGTGTCGGTTACAATGAAAGGCGGAAAGAAGGACAATAATTAAAGCCCCTAGTAATAGTATAACACCTGGAATCGAAAAAGGCTAAAATCTCCATGGATAAGATTTATTAGATGAAGTGCCGTACTAAATAAATGCTAAAAACTGAAAATTCGCATGTAGCTAAAAAGTTCTGAATATTTTGCGGTTGGAAACTTGAAATTTAGCTTCCTCTGGCAATTAACTTTTTTTTTGCGAAATTCGATATGCTACTAAAAATTTACTAAATTTGAGTTAGAGCAGAGTTAGAGTTTTGGCAAGAGTTTCTAAAGTTAGTATGGGGGTAATTCCTGGGGTGGGTAGAGATTAAAAACAGTGTGCATGGACATTTTTACTAAATTCTAGAAAATATTAAATAATAAAGAGCTTTCCTTTATTATTTTAATATTTCGCACCATTGCACTATGGGTTTTTTTTCGTTTATTTTGGCATAAACTCTAATTTCAAAGCTATTGAATTGAAATTTGGTTTGTATGCATTTTTTATGCTTCCAAGATGACCTACCAATTTTCATATGATTTGGGGCACTATTTCATATAGCTGCTATATAGCCGATCTGGCCGATTTGACCCAACTTTTTTGTTTATGAAGCTATTGAAGTGAAATTTGGTTTGTATTAATTTTTTATACCCCAAAGATGACTTACGAATTTTCATATGATTTGGGGCACTATTTCATGCAGCTGCTATATAGCCGATTTGGCCGATTTGACCCAACTTTTTTGTTTATGAAGCTATTGAAGTGAAATTTGGTTTGTATTCATTTTTTAAGCCCCCCCAAGATGACTTACGAATTTTCATATGATTTGGGGCACTATTTCTTATGTAGCTGCTATATAGCCGGTCTGGCCTATTTGACCCAACTTTTTTATTTATGAAGCTGTTGAAGTGAAATTTGATTTGTATTCATTTTTATGCCCCCAAGATGACCTACGAATTTTCATATGATTTGGGGCACTATTTCATGTCGCTGCTATATAGCCGATCTGGCCGATCGGCTATGATGATTTGGAGAAACATACTGCTCATTCATTACAATAATTATACTTTTGCTAAGCCATTTTGAATGTTTAGTTTTAAATCGCTCTAGTTTACGGATGCACTTTGGCAAATGCTTTTTTATATAATTAACAAAATCTTTCACTTGTTTTGATATCAAACGCATTTGGTCTTCATTTAAACTGATATTATTGATATTCTGTAACACATATTTCACAAGTGCATCTTCTGAGCGATTGTTGCTTCTCCAAATTTCAATAAGCGCTGCATGGACAAACACATGTTTATCTGCAAAACACGTGTTGGCACAAAATAGAACAAAAAAGGCTAGTTACTCATTAATTAACACACTTTTGTTAATAACTTGGCATTTATACCTTTTTGCAATGCTTTGCCATTCACAAGTTACACTCCACGGAACACAACTACAATTTATAGATTTTATATAAAGCTATACATAAACGAAACAATTCACTGTATTACAACAACAGACAATTATGACAAAAAGGGCACCTCGTCTTAATTTTACATACCTGCACTAACGTTTTCCATAATTACACATTTTATTTTTTTCAATTTTGTCAAATCAGAAGCACTTGAACTTAGCTGATCTTTACCGCCAGTTGTACCAAAACAAAGTGACTTTCAAACAGCTGACTTTAAAAGCTCGCCAGCAAAAAAGGGTTGCCACCCGTATTGATATTAAACATTTTTTTTTCTAATATGGGTATCTACATTTAGGAAATCAGTTAAATTTCAAAATATGAAACCAAAAAAAAAATGACTTTATGCCAAAAAATCATGCTTTTTACCCATAGTGCATTGGTGGAAATGGATGTTTTTACATAGTAGTACTTAAAGGTACTAAGCACTGTACTTTTAGCGTAACAATTCTGAAATATGGGTTAATTCTAATTAAAGAGTGTTCCAATATATACCATCCAAATTATTATGGTGTTTCTGAATATTTTTTTTTTCTTTTGTTTGCAATATGTAACAACTAATGTAGCAGGAAATTGGTGCAATCGACATAGCGGTACGAAGGGTGTTAAAAGTTCTCCGTCTGTGGAAATCACTTTAGCTTCCGAACGAAATTAAGTGAGTTGATAAAAATTTATTCAAATGTGTATTATGCAGGACTTTTTGTGTTGAAAACGGACCATATAGGTCCACGTCTTCGTATAGCCCCCATATAACGGCACCCCCCGATATTCGGTATTTTGATGATTTTAGCGACATTATTTACCGGAATTGTTTAAAATTTGGTATTTGAAGATCGTAATGAATAATACAGGCTAAGACAGAAAATTGTCTGTGCAGGTCCATGTCTTCGTATAGCCCCCATATAACGTTACCCCCGATATTCAGTATTTTGATGATTTTAGCTACATTATGAACAGATTTTTTTCAAATTTAGCATTTGAATATTGTAATAGCTTATGACAATGCAGGTCCACGTTTTCGTATAGGCCCCATATAACCTTACCTCCACATATCACGTATTTTGATGATTTTAGCGGAGGGTTTTTGTTGTTTGTTTTTTCTTGTTTTTTGTTTTTTCTTTATTAATTATAGCAAGTTCCTGATAACTTTTGGAAATTTCATGTTATGACAATAAAAATTATTGAAATTTACACAACAGCGATAGCAAGGACTTGGGAATTTTGCAAATAAATGAAAACCTTTATATGGGACCTATACGAAGACGAGGTGCTGGATAACTATTTTTTTGTCATATGCTGTAGAAACGATTCAGAACTTCAAATACAAAATTCGAAACAATACCGCTGAATACAATACCAGTGAATACTGTCGATATTATCATCAAAATAGCAACTGAAGAGAGGTACCGTAGCATGGGGGCTACTAAGACGTGGACCTGCACAGACAATTTTCCGGTTGTAGTACCCATTACGAACATCAAATACGAAATTTGACGCATTTCAGGTGCATAATATAGCGACAATCCTGGCAATTCCGAATATCTCGGGTAGCGTGTTATACTAAAACGTAGACCTATGTAGACAATTCTCTTCCAGAGGGTAAAGTACTCAGAGGGAACTTCTTTAGTGGATTTTCGTGATTTAATTAGTTTTAATAATATAGCGACTTGGGTGCATTGATCGTTCTCTTTCCCTTTTCACTAACTCAATTTTTCAGAGTATATGCTAATCGTCTGCGTTCGATTTTTATGGCAACTCATACAGAACATAATTTGACATTTACAAGTGTAACGATATCCATGTCTGATTTAAGGATACAAAAAGAACTAGAACTAGCATTATTACTGAGTTGGGATAAGCCGTGATTATTTGATATTACCATTAAAAGCTTTTAAAAAGGTACAACGTTATTATTGAGTAATTCGTAAGATAGAACCTTTTTTCATGAAGTCATTCTTAATTTTTTGGAACATTCCTCTTTAAAGGTTTTATATGGGGGCTTTAGCGAAACGTGGACCTTTATATCCAAAAAAACTTTCAGTCATATTATGATCATAAAAGTGTAAAGTGATTGACACAGTTCAAGATATGTTGAAACACTTAGAATTTGTCCTTTAAAACGACAGTTATGATTTGGGATTTTAATGATAATCAGAAATTATCCTGTCTCATCCATCCAATCTAACATTGCAACCAACATTGATATTTTGCTTATCGCTACGAGTATTTCTCTTAAATTATAGAACAAATTAGTAAACTAAATATTTAAATAGAAATAGTTTTGTTTTTTTTTTTTCAAAATGTACAATTAGAATTGGCTAACTACTGTTGTAGTTGTTTTTGTTTTGTTTAGTATGAACATGAATTGATCTAAATTGTTGTCAGGAAATCTCATCAGGTGAGACTTCAATGTCGACGCATGTGTAAAGATAGGTGGTCCGAACGGCTAAAGGAACGGGTACAAAGTTGACAGCGGAAGGGCTTGACACCGGTGTGCTTGCGATAATGGCGGGTTAATTCATCGGAACGGGCAAAACGCCAGACACAACCTTCCCAGGTGCAGACATAGGGTTTTTCACCTGAAAATTAAAAAAAATAAAATTTGTTTAGAAGAAATAAGCTGAAAATGAGGAATTTGGTGGTGAATATATATATCCTCCAAACATAATCATTACAAATGGGGTTTAACTACAAGTCGGAAGGACATGTCACACAAAATATGTATTTAATATCTGCTTACCGTAAGACGATAAATAAGTTCTGAAATAACTTATTTTGTTAACCATTCTTTCAGTTCTAAAACAGACCAACTTATATCCTCGTTTTTAAGTACCCACCAAATACTAAATATTTCGTGCGAAATGTTCTTCTCGTAATCCGATTTGTAATAAGTATTTTTGCTGGGTATGCATGTGTAATTCTACCTTAGATTTCCAAATGGCTTTTCTATTTTTTTGGGGAACTTCTTACCTGTATGCGTTCTCTTGTGCGCCTTGAGATGCGAACTTTTCGTATAAACTTTATCACATCCTTCGTTGTCACACTTGTGCACCTTGCGATTCTTGGCCGCATCGCTGCTGCAACCATTCGACGCCCCGCTCACTGAACTCGCATCTGCCGAACGTCCAAATGCACTGCTGCCGCCCGGCACAATACTGCTGAACGTATTCTTACGATCGCCGGTGTTTATTGCACTAAATGCCCCCTGGTGATAGGAATGGCTGAATGGCGAACTTTGGTGATGATGCGCTTCGGCCATTAGCTTCCAAGGCGATGTGGCCGCCGATGCATTGGCACTTTGAACTTTATGGCTTAAAGCGGCCGCATGGGCGGTGGGACTAAAGGCCGAAGCCGTTAGCGCTGGACTTGCCATGGAGAAGGCCGATGAGAGAGCAGCGGCTGCAGCTCCACCACTACTACCAAAACCCGTGGGTGGTACATGGACCGCAGCTCGACGTTCCATGGTGTATTTATAGGGATTTTTAAACAGGCTCAACAAGCTAAACTTGCGATCGTAGTCTTGAAAGTATGAAGTCGCACCGCTGCTACCGCTTGTGGCTCCATTCGTTGCGGCGGAATTAGCACTGGAAAAGGAAGATGTCGATGAACCAATGGGCGAGTGGGCATGTAGCGAAGAGGTCAAAGCTGATTGCGAGGATGCAGATGAGCTGCCATTGCTGTGACCACTGCTGCCCATGTAGGCACCATTGTTGCTGGCCTCATCCTTGAGTCGTCGATAGGTGAAGAGAAATGGCGAGGCAGCCAAAAACGGTGGTATGGGCAGTTTGGTTACTGCTGCTGAGGCACTTGAAAATGTGGAATATTGACGATTTAAAGCCATTTGGGCCGTCGTTGCTGACGCCGAGGCCGAGGCTGAGGAGAAAGGCGAACTGCGGCTGTTGTTGTGGTGGTGGTGTGAGTTATTGCTGTTGTATGCGTTGCTGCGAAAGGCACCTGATGCGGCCGATGATGATGGTGCGGATGATAAACTGTTGTAATTGCTTTTAATCAGTGCTGTGGCGGCGGCTGATGATGATGCCGCTGATGAAGATGATGATTTGTAGCCTTGGCTGTGAGATCCTGCAAAAAAAAAGAAAAAGTGAACATTTGTTAAAATCTCAAGTCTTCGCACACCTCATCATAAATAAGACGACATAGTTTTGAAGCTGCGAATCATTTACAATCTCTAAAATTGGCATATCGCATAACATCGCCACAGTCTGTCCACCCGGAAAGTAATGATCTCTTCTAACAATTTTGACGGCAAATTGTCCATGGCAAATTCACAACAAAACGACTTTATCTTTTGTTGTTGGTGTTGTTGTTGCCGTATAGTTTATAAATCATGCTAATGGATTTATTTTGAATTGCAACAAGACTCTGACAAATTATTGCCATAACACTTGCTCACGATGATGGTGGCGATTATGATGATGATGATCAAGCGGTTTTGGGCCTCCCAAAAAGAATCGGCCGCAGTATGAAGTCATTGGGCGATGATGTCGTTGCTGATATCTGGCAATTAGCATTACATTTGACCAAGTTGGCCAAGTTTATTGATGACCCCCCTACAGGCATTGGTCTTTTTCTAACGAAATGCAATCAATAATTTTCCAAACGACATGGTGTTCGAAATATCTCAGATGACATGCTGCGAGCTAAGTTAGTGGATAATTAATGGTGGAAATGTAGTCTAATTTAGAATAGTGGATGCAAACGTTTTCAAGAAAATATATTGTGGGAAAGCGGTTTTCTTAAGAGGACTAATGAATGAAGATTAGAATTTATAAATCTTAATATTCGACTTCAAAGTCAAATATATTTTGACAGATTGAGTAAATCTGTTTATACTTAATTTTGACCTTGAATTTTAAGGAGATGTTATAGTGTCGAATTGTTTGTAATTTCCAGAAGACACAGAATTTTGAAATTCGTCAAACAATTTAAGTTCGGAAACTTTTCTGACAGAAACGTTATTTAAGAGCCAGTTTATTTATATCAAAAGAATGAAATTTGTAAAAACATACCTAGAATTCGATATCAGTATCTGCGTCTGAGTAAAAAAAAAAAAAAAGAAAACAGCAAAGAAAGTTCAAAAGTCAGACTGACTTTATGATACCCTACACCACTATGAATTCTTATTAGAGGTACTCGTAACAAATAAATGTTTAGGTTGGGAATTTATGTGAAGTAGATCATACCCACTATGAAGCTTTTTTGAATACGTACTATGGTTTTAGAACAGTTAAAATTTAAAACCGAGGGGACCTAAAATATGGGAGGAATATTCTACTCGCAATTGGCTTCCACTTATTTTGTGGAGGATTTGTATTTCTCGTTCCATATTACATTACCATAGACTATCCAATATGATTTCGATAAAGATTAATATAACAAGTTATCATTCGGTTTTGCCGACAGATGTATACCCTGTTCTTTTATTAAATAAATTTCGACTTGCGTTATTATTATACAAAATGTTGGCCCATTACTAGAGGGGTTCAGAAGGAGTGGGCCAATATTGTCTATTTCGTATCTGACCCAAATTTAATATAAATATTTCAACTTGCCAGATTTGAACATCTCCTTTACTTTATATGAGATATATGATAATTCTTCGAAAAAGTTGAAATGTGGGTGAGGTACCAAATATAGTGGACCGAGGTACTCCACTTCATCTAATACTGATAAAAATATCAGGATGTGTAAAATGTGCAAAAGGAAAATTCAACATTTATGTATTTCCAGTTCTATGCAAAAAGTTTTACTCAAAATCTTAACCGTTTGTGTGGAGGTACCATGACAGCATTGTTATTTAAAATTTGGACCCTCTCTGCAGGAGATACCGGAAGGAGTTGGCCGATATATTTCACCTTCACATCAGATCTTGTGTTAATAAAAGTATTGAAATGTGTGAAATTTCGAGTTTTATGAGAGATATTACACAATTCACAATTTTGACAAGTCGTGAGGGAGGAACCCTAAGGAATAAACCGATCTACCCTATTATCATACCAGACCTATATAATTTAAAGATAATTTGACGATTATTTCACATTTTATAGGCGTTAAAATTATTGAAAATTTCGACTCTTTGTGAGTGAGGTACTAGAAAAAGTGGGTCTATATTGTCTATTTTCCCACCTGACTCAGCAAATATTACGATTTACAAAGTTGGATCAAAATCAGATTATTCTTTCTCTTTCTATGCAGTAAATATTTTTGAACAATGCGACAGAAGGAGGGGATCGATATTGTCCACCTCCGAACTCGATCTAGCTATATCTAGCTCAAATCGTCCAACATACCCAGAGTGAAAGAGTATTCGACGTATTATATATCTTCCCACCGTTAGATCACAGTTTACAATGGGTGATATTGCAAACGGTAAGTCTTTCACAAAGCTTTCGTCTTGGATGTTAACTTAATGGTAATATTGACACAACTAGAAGGAAGGTAGTTGAGCACAGCATCTCAGCCTGTTGATATCCAACCACATCCTCCCTGAAGTCTGAAAAATGGGACTGGTGATCCCGCTACTGGAGCCAATGATGTCAACAAAGGCGATTTATACAGGCCGATATCATTTTTGGCGCCGATATCGAAGACTTTTGAGGCTGTAATCCTCTTCATTAGAAGAGAACGCTTTTCAATTACCGATCATCAATATAGTTCCGTACATATACCATCCGTGTAGGACATATCCACACACATTAGTCGAGGAATAATACAGAAGTGTGCCCTAGTCCTGAGTCAGTCTGTGGCGAGCTATGCGGTCCAGTGTGGTATGTGAATGCTAGTGTTACGAAGTGAAAGAGGCCTGTCAAAATGGAACCCTGCGAACTGCAATAGGTCCTCTTCATGACACCGGGTGTACCATCTATATAAGAAGGCGACGGTTCTTCCCAGATGCCAGCATAACTATATAACCATAGGCTTTCGTAATACCTGTTTGTGTGGTACCGCGGGAATCATGAGAAACACTGATAAATTTCAAAACATACGTACATTTATGGGTACTCGCAATCAGCACTAGACATCATACTCCTACCTGAATCAGTAGATGAATTGGCAAGACTTGGATCCGAGTGAATCATTTACAGATAAGAACTCGGTGAAGCAACCCTTGTGCCACTCCTACCGATACAACATCATTACTCAGTGAGATTTCAACAAAACTGGCTACATGGAAGGGGATGCAATGTGCGCTCTGCGAGGAGACGAAGGTCGCTCATATCAATAGCGAAATCACACATGTATGGGGATTAATCACGAGTCGCTATATCATAAGGGCCATGGCTTCTAAGTGGGGTGGCGACGACACTGATTACTGGCGACATTACAATTATGAGGATCATGCCCGGCTTTTTTTTTTTTTTTTTTTTGGGAAAATCCCCTAAATAATGTGAGGATTATGTCCGCTTCCAAAACGGGCATAATGCCCATGGGGAGTATGACCGTTTTTCGGACATAGTCCCGAGAAAGAGGGGAAGTTTTTATCACAGGTAGGTATTTTTAACCAAAAAGCAAAGTAATGTTTTCGTGAAAGAAATACCGAACGTCTGTTTAAAAGTGTCAATATATTCCGAACTACAAGAGATACCAACACATTTAGCGCCATTATGGAAAGGCAAAACTGTAGGCTATAATGAAGTTTTTCTATACGATACAGCTATAGTTGGTCCATTTTCGAATTTTTAGGGATTTTTCAAAAAGTTCCGATACAAACAGTAACAATTTTCTGTATTGCTCTGGACCCGTTTCAAATATATTGAATTGGTGTTTCCATAAGCTTTCAACTGATACGCATTTTGTGCAAGCCAATTTTGTGGAACCGAATAAAACCCGGATTTTGTATCAGAAGTTTCGGGTCGAATAATCGTGTAACCGGGTATTTCCTCCACATAATCCATATGTAATCCAATTAACTACCCCATAATGGTATTTATACCGCAATCGTTTTGGACCTTATTATTATGGGTACTATTTCCGCTACATTATGGTGGGATATGACCGGAAAAACGGATACAATCCCTATAATTATAATGAAGATTATGACATCGGACCACTAGAAATACCGGCTATCAATTACCAAAATCTGTGAACATAACCGTGACATGATGTTGAACATTTTTTGTCCAAAATGCAAAAGCTTGATTTCCAGGAGTTCGGTAAACATTTAATTTCCAGTTTGGGGCTGGTCAATTGGCCACCTAGATCGCTTGATTAAAGCCTTTAGATTTTTTTCGAGATCGGTTCGGATTTGGATATATCTCCCATATATAACTTCGTCCGATTTAACTTTTTTGTGCACCAAACCTCTAATATTTGCCCAAATGGGATGGAATTTGGCACATACGGCCGAATTGAGTATAAAAAGTAATATGCCAAATTTGGTGAAGATCGGTTCAGATATAGCTATAGCTTCCAAATATATTGTTCATCCGATTTGTTATATTTGTTACCCACAGCCGTAATATGCACTCCGTAACAACGATATTCAGGGAAATATATGAAATACAGCTCAGAGAGATCTTTGCCAAATTTTATGAAGATCGGTTCATATTTGGATATAGCTGCCATATATATCAAATGTGCAACACAAGTCCGAATTTAAAAGATACAAATGCTTCGGCATATTTAGTCTTTTGGACTTTAAATTATAATTATAATCATAGCGTGTATGATTGAATTCTACCATAAAAACTTTTTATTGCTATGTGGAGCTCTACTAAATTAGCAAAGAGGTGTACGGTATCATAAAGTCGGCCCCGCCCGACTTTAAGTCTTTCTTTACTGGTTTTTTGTATGGATATGTTAAAACTCAAGTCTATATAGAAGTGCCCGTGCAAGATACCGGTGGAAATGTTGGAAATATGCCGAAAGCGGATGGACCATTTGGGGGACAGCAGTCAATCTATGTTTTTGTCGTTATTTATTTTTTCTTTCCTGCAAACACATTCCTATTGCTTTTAAAAATCGCCCTTTAATAATATAATCACCTGTCATGCCCGTAGTTTAAAGCAGAACAATTTATCGCAAGAGTTAAATTGGAGAACGGTAAATCACTTCTGAGCAAC